GGCGGGGGGGGGCCGGCCGGCTGGGTAAGGTGCCCACAGGCAGCAGGCGGAAGGTGCTGCCTGTGTCCTGCCACGCCCTGAGCCTGGCTGCCTCCACAAACCCTGGTGCCACCTCCTGCCCACAAGTGCCTGTGCAGTGCTGGCCACTGGACTTGATCAGACCGCCCTGGCCACCTGAACTCCACGTGAGCCCCCAGGAAGCTGGGCGGGGCTGTGGGGGCGCAGGGGAGCATTCTTGGGATGGGCAGGGCTCTGAGCCCCAGGGAGCATCCCCAGGGCTCCCAGCTCACACATCTACCCCTCAACTCATGTTCCCCTTACAGTCAGCACTGCCCACTCCATGCCCAGTTCTGTGGCTGGCTTGAGTGGGACCCAGAGCTGAAACAGACGCAGCGCCTCGTACACTGAGTGTGGGAAGAGGGTGGGAGTGAACGATCTGAGTAGAATTCACTTGCTTGAAGGCTGTTTGTTGAGCACCTGCTACACACCAGACTCCGTGCTAGGCGCGGGACACACGGCCGCAGAGGGCGGGTGCTATTCCTGACTTGGTGGTCTGCGTGCCACTGAGGGGGCGGCACGGTTGGGGCCACAGCTCACCCACGTGGTGCCACCATGTGGATTAGAAAGAGGCGTTCTCTCCAGGCGGGGCCACCCCAAGCACCAGCCTGTAATGTGGATCCAGGCTGGGTTTCGGTCCCACTCATCCTGTCTGCAACCCATCTGCAATCTACAACCCTCACAGCCACTCACAGGTACCCTGGAAGCACCAACGGACAAAGGGAAAATAAATTCACATGGTGGAGAATTCTGTGGAAAAGAGAAAACGGGGAAATGAATGAGAGGCAGCGGGGGAGGGAGCCAGACAGGTGTTCAGGGAACACCTCCCACGGGAGACATCAAAGCCATGACCCAAAGAGGTCTGAAGGGAGGACGTTAAAAGAGGAAGAGTTAGGACCAGCAGATGATGCAATGGTTACATCACTGGACTCCCATGTAGTCAACTGCAGTTCGAGTCCCAGACCTGGCAGCTTAAAACTCATGCCGGACATGTGTGTGTGCATGCCCCAAATCCCAAGATGAGAATGGAGAAGGGATCGTGGTGTGGCCATCTCCCTTGGGGTGTGGTTTCTCCTTTCTGTCTCTGTGCTTCTCTTTGTCTCTCTGGCAAGTGCACATGTCCTATAGCAAAACAAACAAACAAACAAAACAACTCTCTAAAAAGAAATAAAGAAACAAACAGACAGAAAACCCCACAAAGAATAGGAGTCAACAGGCACTCAGAGGTGAGGGCTGACTGGCACTTTAGAAAGAGAGTGAGAAGCAGAGATCTTTAGGCTGGGGCCTTGCAGGGTGAACAGAGTGTTTCATGGCAGGGTGGGAGTCACCAGTAAAGAGAACAGAGTACGCAAAGGCTCAGAGGCATGAGAGGGATGGATGGTGTTCCACAAGGCAGGAGGAAGACAGAGAGACCCTGGTCAGAGACATAGGAGCTATCAATTTCAGAGTTGCTGCCAGGGCTCTGAGGAGGAAGGATGGGTGGGCAGAGATGGAAGTGGGAGATGGAAGTCAGCTGAGGGGCTGGGGTGGGCAGTGGGAGGGCTTGGGAGGAACCATTTATACGTGTCAAACTGAATTCCACTGGCCGAAAGAGCAGGGCTAGGCCTCCTTGGCGAAGAAAAAAGGTGGAGCCTGGGAACAGAGCCATTGGCACAGTTGTTTAGGCTGTGCACTGCACAAGGACAGCCTGGCAGAGAGTGGGTGGGGGTGATACTCTGCCCGACCTCTCTCTGCCAAGTCTTGAACTTTTGAACCCTGGCAGCAGGAGGGGGTTGTCTTTTTTGGTCTACTCAAAGTGGGTGTTTTTATTTTATTTTATTTATTCTTTTCTGATGGGCGTAAAGGGGTTCCATATGTTGGGCTTGGGGTAGATGACCTAAAGGCTCCAGATTCTAGTGTGGGCTCTGCTCCAGACATGCCCTGTGGCTTTGGACCAGTCACTGTCCTTCTGCAGAACACAGACGTGTGGGCCTAGCTAGAAGCTAGCCGGTCCAATCTCTGCACTGCACAGAGAAAGAGGACGAGCCCGGAAAGGGGCGGCACCTCTCCCGAGGTCACAGAGGGACACCAGCAGAGCCAGCACCCTTGACTCATTCCAGGCTCTGTCTTCCCTGCTCCATCAGCTTGGCTTGCTGGCCACACAGAGGGACCCACGGAGAGGGCAAGAGGAAGAGTGGAGGAGGGGAGGGCAGCCCAGGCTATAGCTCCCTGGGACGGGGTTAGAAGGGGTCAGGGTGCCCCAGGCCTCTAGGCCCCCTACCCGCCTCCCCCAGGTCTCATGGGGTTGTCATTTGCAGACGTTAATTATTCATGATGCTGCCATTTGCCTGGTTTTAATGCACTCTGATGGCGTTCTTTAGCTAATGGGGAAAATCAATAGGTTTTAATTCTTAGTGGCTGTGAAGCCCTGTCTGGCTCCTGTTTTGGTGACTGGGCCTGGTTCTTCTGCTGGGGTGGGGTCTGGAGGCTCAGACCTAGTTCACAAGAGCCCGAGACTCCACTTTTCCCTCTCCAGTCCCCACTCTCTCTCTCTCTCTCTTTTTTTAAGAGAGGTTTTTGTTATAGAGTACATGTACTCACCAGAGAGACAGAGAGAGACAGAGAGACAGAAAGTGAGAAATCACCCCCCAGGGGGATGGCCATGGGCAATCCGTTCTCCTCCATTCTCCTCTTGGAATTTTGAGCACACACACATATGTGCCAGGTATGAGTTTTAAGCTGCTGGGTGTGGGACTCGAACCACAGTTGATTATGTGGAAGTCCAGCGATATAACCATTACGCCATCTGCTGGTCCTGCTCCCACTCTCTCCTGACTCCAGCCTGGGGAGAGAGTCAGGGTCACCAGGCAGCTCTAGACACCTATTCCATATTCTGTCCAAAACACTCTGGAGCATCCGAGCCCTTAAGTCTCAGCCATTTGCCACCTCCTGACCCCTCCAGGCCAGTCCGCCCCATCTCAGAAGGCATCCTCTCCCCCAGCCCCACGCCAGCCGATGTCCTTCAAGAGTCCTGTAATTACCTTGTGAACAGGTCACCGAATTGTTCCTGAGCCAGGCCAGAACATGCCAGCAAGAGCCCACCAGCTTTGGGAGGTTGGAGTCAGGCCTGCGGCCCCTGGTGTTTTGGGACCTGGGGGCGCCTTCTCCTGCCCGCTGCTCAGGGCCAGCCCTGGTTATCCTCCTGGGCTGGGCCCAGCTTACAGCCTGCCTGGGGGTGTGAGGGGCACCTGGCCTGGGCCTCACGTTCCAGAAGAGCCTTAAATGGGAACACTGATGTTATCTCTACGTGCGGGGACACATACGGAGTGGAGAGGGGGACAATTTCTCTGGCAGTCGACATTGTCATGAACCCTGTAATCGCCTGGCCAGGGAGCCGCCACACTGTGCTGCATTTGCCCCTGTGTGCCAAAAGGGTACAGTCAGGCAGGTGCGCACACTAATACGCCGTGGTCTTCATAATGCTGTCTTTGGTATTTCACATTGTTTCCAGAACCCCAGCCTCCAGGAAAGGAAGAGGTCTGAGATGTCTCAACCTTACAGAGGCCCTGCCTGCTTCCCAATGGACCCCCAGGACCCACCGCTGGCCCGCCATCTGGAGGGGCTGTCTGCTGGAGCCCTAGCCTACCTACTGGTCTCTGGAACCCAGGCTGTGGGACTGCAGGCCTCCTCTACCCTGCTCACTCCGGTTTGCCTTGGCTCCTCTCCCTTCTGCTTCCCCAGCAGCACCAAGCTCATAGGTCAGACAAAGAGCTTTTGGGTATAGACTTCACAGTGGGGCAGATCTGGGTTGAATTCCCCTGGCACTTAAGTTCTACGTTGTTCACAGTTTTCGTTTTGGACTCAGGTGTGCCAAAGGCTGAGTTCATCCTTTTTTTTTTTTTTTTTTTTTGTGGGTTTTTTTCTTTTAGGGGGGGTGTTCTGC